TCTGCATGGGAGAAAGCAAACAGATCGGCATTATTGGTTAAAAATTCATGAAATTTACCTGGCTCGGAGAGCTTATGGCCTATATAGGCCTTTTTGTTGCTGTCGCTACTATCCAGTTGGACGGGGTCGAGATCTTCTATTATCGATCCTACGGCCTCCACGATGTCGGGGTCCTTAATAACGTCTTTTCGATCATTGGGTTCAGACCCCGACTTCGTTAATTGCTATGATTCTGAGCTTGTTCCTTTTAGTTGTTGAGTGAATGTGCAATCTTGGGTGATGCGGTAGCATTCTTGGGTTGTGCGTTGTTCGCCTCGGATGTTGGATATTCCCCACGGGGTAGGGAAGGTATAGACTGGACGGGATGGCCCTCATGGCATGTATCCATGGTCGTCAAATGATTGCGTTGTAAGTTGTATCCTGGTTCATGACGTGGAACGTTGTTTCCAAGGTGATACCTCCGGCCAAGATGGGTAGTATTATTTCTCCTGAGGTTCATTCGACTGCATTGTTAAAGCCCGTTAGTGTTATGCAGCGTGATACTATCTTGTCCTCGAGTCGCATTTGTGTGAGTACTCGAGGATGGATAATACACACGCCGCTTCCGTCGTCTACCATTATTCTCTTAACATCAGTATCCAAAATACGTAAGGTAATGACAAGAGCATCGAAGTGAGGAAAAATCAAACCGTTAGTATCTGACTTATCGAAGATGATACTTTCTTCGAGGTCATCATACAGATCGTGAGTGATTGACCGCTTCAGCTTGTGTGTGGTGGTAAATTTTATGTGGTTGACTGCTGCTTCGTCGCCTCCACAGATGATCATTTGAATGGTGCGGGCAGGAGAGGGCGGTTTTGGAGGCCCCTGGTGTTGTTCCCGTCCGCGACCAAAGTTGGCTCGTCCTCGATCACTCATTAACTTTTTCAGGTGTCCTTGGTTCAGCATGTTAACCTCTTCTTGCCGCAGGGCTATGCAGTCCTCGGTCCTGCGACCCCGCTCCTGGTGAAATTCACAAAGGACGTTCGACTTTCGGGTACTGGGGTCGGACTTCATTTTTTGTGGCCACTTCACCTTCGTGCCAAGCTTCTCTAGTGCGTACACTACTTCTGAAAGAGAAACACAAAAATTGTGAGCGGATAAGAGTGGGGGCATACCTCTTTCGTTTCGTTTCGTTGAGTCCCTGTGTGCGGCTTGGACGGCCCTTCCATAAGTCGAGGGGATGGTGGAATGGTGGTTCTGACGTAGGGTTGATGCCTATCTCGGTTGAGGCGTGGTCTAGGCTGATCTCTTTGACTGTCATTACGACGGTCTTTCCTTGGCTCTAATTGGGTCGAAGTTAGACGTTGGGTTGGACCGTTAAGTTCGTCATAATTATCTCTCACCTCGGCACAGTTGGCGTTGTGAATTTCTTCCCAAGTGGTGGGAGGGTATTTCATGAGCCTGCTTAACAGCTTCCCATTTGCTCTTGACCCATTTCTGTTCAACCCGTTTTGGAAGGACGCTACCGCCATCCCTTCTGATACATTTGGTAAGCCCATTCTCACCCTGCTAAACCAAGCGAGGAAGTCCCTGAGTCCCTCGCTTGGCGATTTCCTAACGGCGAATATGTCGTTCCTGGCCTCCGCTTTCTTAGCTCCGTCGTGGGCGGTGACGAACTTATCAACCATTTCTTCAAACGTTGCTATGGACTGTGGTGGTAGTACCAGGTTAGGGCTCCTCCAGTTAGGGTTTCGCCAAACTTTTTTAGTAGCACTGACGATACTTGCTCCTTTGATAGATCGTTGCCCTTTACTGTCGTGACATAGTGAATGATGTGGTCTTCTGGGTCTTTGGTGCCATCGTATATTTTTAAATATGGCGGCATTTTGAAGGTCTTGGGTATGGCATGTGGGGCTGCCTCCTCATAATACGGTTGTTCAATGAATCGGCCGATGTCTCGTTTTGGTAGCAGTTTCGGAGCTCCCGGTATCTTATCGATCCTTTCTTGATGTTCTCTCATCTGGTTGCGGAGTGCCTTATTTTCGTTTTCCATTTCTTCCATTTTCTTCAAAATGGCTGCCAGTGCGTTATTGCCTGTATCAACAATGGTGTGAGTGTTACCTGTTGGGGGAGCTGGTTGCTCATCGGTGATCGTTATGACATCTGCCGGTGTGGCATTTCGGTTCGCTATTTGAACGGGTTTGTCAAGTATGTCATTGAGGGTACTTGTCCGCCACTCCTCCAACAGTTTCTTCACTGCCAGTGGCGCTTCCTCAGTTGTGGATGTGGAAGCTCCCCTTTCGCGTAAAGCAGTTACACTTTCATGAGGAGGAGGTGAATCACTCCGCCTGGGCGTAACGCTTGGCGTCACATTCTCATTGTCTTCTCTGCCATCCTCGTTGATGGTGTTCAGAATGTTTGTAGTGACACCTGCTATTGCTTTCTATCTTGCATCTCCTTTCCTGCCATTGTTAGTTTATGCAAAGCGAGGAAAAGATGGTTGTCCCTTTTTATGATCTAGAAGAAACTAAAATTTTAACTAAAAGCTTCCCATCAGACGGCGCCAAATTGTTTGACCAAAAAGTATTAAGCTCTTTGATTAAATCAATTAATAATGATAAGAAGAGTGAATCTTAGTTAAGGATAATAAAATCTAGACCGAATACTAAACGAAGTAAGCAAGATGGATGATATAAGTAAGTCTGTTTGAGCTGATCAAATGTTCATGAATGCAACAACATAAATGTGCAATAAATATAGATTAATGCGACTAGCATAACAAAAAGGATTTACTTTCCAATAATTGTGAGACTCAAACGATTCCTTCTCCTGACAACTACGCGGAATGAATGGAATAATAGACAGTTCTGGGATCCTTGGATCTTGCAAATATAGAATCGAAAATGTGAGCTCGAACAAGTAATCAATGAATGAGACAATTTTAGTATATTCCCGGGTCAACTCTTTACACTTTTTTTCAAGAAGTGAGGATCCCTTTTTGTTCTCTATCTCTTCCTATTTATAAGGGACATTTTCCAAAAACCCTAAAAAGTACAAAGCAAGGAATATCCAAAGGAATATTCCTTGTGTCTATATTGGAACTTATGCTACCGTTGTCTCCTCATCTCAGCTGCCCGTCTTTGGCATCAATCGTCTTGAGAGCAACCCTCAGTTGCTATACCATGGTCGACCCCGTCCTTTATCTTACTTGTACGTTACCACCGATACGCCAAATTTAGACCTATACACATCTACCCTACTTTTGCAGAGACCACATATATTCTACTCAACTTTCACAATCTTTCAAATCTTTCACATTAAGTACAAATACCATAAGCTTGCCCCCGCATTATGTAAATTAAGACGGAACTGATGAGCTAACCCACAAACTCATATATTATCCTCACGACTAGGGGTGTACATAAGTCGGGTTGGTTCCTGTTTTATTAAAACCAAACCAAACCAATTATATCGGTTTGGATTGGTTCGGTTTTGTCCGGATTTTTTTTTTTTTTGGATTTTTCGGGTTTTCTCGTTACATTTGTAGATAGAATTTTGTAAATATATATGTAGTAAAAATTGAAAAATTGACAAACATGATCTATTAAAATATTTTTATGGGAGCATTTTTTTGTACTACATGATAGTTATTTTCTTAGTCGTCTAACAATAATTTTCGTTGATGTATGCTTTCAAACTTATTCGAATTTAATAATTAAACACAAAAAATCGATATGAAACCTAAATAATGATATGTTCTATTTAATTCTAAAATTACCAATAAAATGCCGTTCAAATTCGAAAAAGATATAAGAGTTTAATAGATCTTGACATATAAATATGGAAGAACAAAGAAATTGATGCATTTGAATAATACTTCATAAGATAGTAATGATACAAACCATTATTTAAAGTAAATAACAGTAGATGCACTTCATAGTTCTATTAAACATTACATCCCATGAGAGGATCACAAATATTTCTAAGAAAATTAAAAAGAATTTATATAAGTCTTAAAAGTATACATAAAAATTATATATTTATATGTCGGTTTGGTTCGAATTTCTTTACTCAATACCAAATCAAATCAAATCAAACCTATCGGATTTTTTAATCGGTTTGCTTTGACTTTTCGGTTTGGTGCGGTTTTCCGATTTGATTTGAACACCCCTACTCACAGCTATTTAAACAATCATTTGAGTTAGTGACGAACGCACGGTTAGGAGGTTTAAAAGTTTTTAAAAGTGAAAACGCCAAGGGAATTCATTATGTAACATGTTATATATATATATATATATATATATATATATATATATATATNATATATATATATATATATATATATATATTGTAATCTTTTGGCTATGGAGATTTCAGATAAACCCCTTTCACCTCTAGCTTTGCCCATGATTCGAGGTTTCAACAGTACTACTAACTAAAAAGCAAGTGGAAAACAGCATAGAATGGGAACCAAAACATATATACAAGTGAAAAAGAGAACATTTACAAGTAAGGGGGAATTTAGACTATTGAGGTAAAAACTGGCTTAGAATATCTTATTGACAACCACCCCATGTCTAAAATTCTTGAAAAAAATGGAAAACCAAGTTACAAAAATGTGCATGCAAATCATATCCTTATCTTGTGCCTTTGCTTGCAAATCTGAATTATTAGTAGTTATGCCAAGTTCTAACAAATCACCATTATCCTTAGCTATAAATTAGAATCAACAAAAAAGAAGGAAAAGAATTAAAGGCTATTTTAACTGATATTACATGTGAACTTCCCATCTAGAAAGTATAATGAGGGATAGATTCTTCACGGAGATTATGAGCTGCTAATAGATAATGTTGATCTACTTTTAAGTAATGATAAGTGTCTTTCACCAAAGGATAGGACCCCATGATTTATGCTACCAAAATTTAAGAACATCTTTTAGGAATATATACAATTCTTGCTTATGAATAGATGGACTTGGGACCAATCCATCAGAAAAGAAAAATGTATATACTGAGAAACAGACTGAAGAGAAATCATTTATTCTCGTTATTTGATCTTCATTCAAATCTGTAGAACTTATATAACTTATCTTTTAGTACATAAGTTAGGCAGCTATTTTAGTGTATCAATAGACCACCAAGAAGAAACATAATGGCTTTTGCTACATTTAGATGATCTTTTCACATATCAGAAAGTTCTTAAATGTAACTGTAGATTTCTTTTAGGGTAAGCACGAATCGGAGGCTTGAGTTCATCAAGAACATGTAGCTGCAAGATCGGGATGAACCTCATGGAAAACCTCGATACAAAATACCCAGCCTTTATATCAAGAAAAACAAATGATCTTTCAGCTGCTCAAAACTTGATCGCCTTCTCCAATTGGTGTCTCACTTATCTGCAGAGCAGAACTCGAGCCATTAGCTTCAGGGGCACCACCAGATTCGGAGATTCTTGTTACCCTCTGCAACTCATCCGTTATCTCTGATGAACGAGCCATCAACTGATCATCAGTCAATTGTTCATTCTGAAACACAGACTTTTTAGGTTGGCGAATGGCTGCAGCTGCTTCTGCCATTGCTACTGGAGGAGGCTGGGGAGGAACCCAGGATCTCTGAATTGGTCGTTCCTGGACTGGTGCAGCTGGAGATCCAAAGTTTTGTTCACCTTCAGTTTCGATTTCAGTTATCCTGGCATTCCTGCGCTGCCACCAAGCTGCTGAACTGTCTCCATTAGTCAGATTGTCTTGGTAACCATAATTCAAGCCATCGCCACTCCCTTGAGATTGAAGCAAATTAGTTGAATTACTTTGAATCTGGCCAACTTCCCAAGGCTGTTGACAAGCAGAAATTAGTATATGGTGATTACTGCCGTTTCGAGAAAATCTCAAGTTTAAACCACATATTACCCCTCTCTACCTCCACCTTTACCCCAGACAAACCAAAAATAAAACGTACTGAATAGAAAGTTCTATCTAGAAAAGATAATAGAAAACCAAAGTCCTTGTATCCTAACCAAAGTGGCAGGTTTTCATAGAATTAACCCATACAATGGCAGGGACATATTCCTAAATATCCTTAGTTGCAGTGATTAATTCATCAAAAAGCAGCAGTTTCGTAGGATCATAGATTCGATTAGTTAATCTTATTTTTTCATGTCCAAGCTGCCAGAATGTCCACGCATGGCTCTCTTTAAAGTCAAACTCACAGACTAACAACTAGAAAGAACATTAAATAGCAGAATTTAAAAGAACAATAAATTTAGTTACTATGTCTACACACAGCTAAATTGACGCAATTCCAACCTTCAAATTTGACCCAATTGCGACATTGTTAGTAGAAGAAGCAAAAGGAAGGAAACAAAACCTTAGGCTTTGGAGCAACACGAGGATCAGGTACGGGCTGGTTAGGATTTGGTGGCTGATCATTTATATCCTGCATCAAAAGATGGATGTACAAACGTTCAAGAAAACTTTATTTTTCAAGATAAAAGTATGTCAACCACTGGTGAGAACCCTGGGCTTACCCGGATGTTGGAAGGCTTCTCTCCTCTTTGAACCATAGCCATTATCTGCAAAATGATTATGAAGTTAGAAGAGACGATTCCCTAATTCTTCCAGCAACCATCTGACCCATTTTACTAGCATCTTCATTGAAGAGAACGAAAGCTCAACCAGTGCTACTCATTGATTTGTTCAAAGGCAGATAGAAGTACTACATTACAACGTGGAAATATTACAAATACCAAATGCTGTCCATAATCCTAATCAGATCTCATAAGTTGTGACTGCTTACAAGTTACAACCATATGCTGATATGCATATAGCACCTCTATTAGAATTTCAAATAAAGATTATCTCTTCCCAGCTTGGAAGAAGAGAAGCCCGACAGTTTCATGATTAAAGCAGCTTATCATATGAGTACGAATGAAATAAAGAGGAGCTCAACAGGGAGAAAAAGATCCCCGATAATTGGTCGGCTGAAGATACTGTCCAGGCGCCCTCCAGCCACCCACTCCCTTCTTCCATTACATAGTGTTCCATATATTAAGCAGAAATATTTTTTTTAGAAGTTGATTTGAAAAGCACCATGGGAAAATCAAAAGGTAACTAAGAAATGATCAACTGATTGTTGACCAGCCAGAAAGTTGCATGCTTTCTTCATAGATTGGTAAAACATAAGATGAAATTACTAATAGATGAGCTGATAGCTAGGAGAAACACTAATAAGCCAGAGAGTATAAGAGTCACCTCCATATAAGACTTGGGATGGGGTGCAACAGATGGTTCCACAGATGCAGGTGGCGACAAAGATCTCGCTGCACAAAATAATCCAATCATGTAGCATTAGTATTTAAAGAATCAGTAAAAATCAATTTAACAAAATTTGGCAGCTAGAAACAGAAAGTAGAACCTGAACGTGCATCACCATCCACTTTTCCATTTAAATAAGATTGCTGGACCATAAGAGCAAATCAGAAACTGAATCTTAAAAGCCAACAGAGATCAATTACAAGATCCAGACATCTGTGTTGCTATACAACTTACCCTAGATTGAGTAACTGAAATTCTGCGATCATCTAGTTCTGTAATTGGTATTCTTCCAGAAGTATTACCTTGCCCTGCATGTATAGAGCAACTCCAATCAGGCACCACGTCCCGTCTAAGGATGACTTGGATCCCTTTATCTCCTTTTTTTTCTTAGGGGGCGGGCAACCCGCCATGTAACGGCAGGGGGTGCATGATATATGAACTTTAAAATATTTATGATGAAATCTAAAGAACCTGGCATTTATTTTATGACAGCTAAAATTCCAGGGCAATGACAACATTATAACGAGGACAAAGCTAGTATATATAAAAGGGAATGCCGATGGAGTGGAGAAAGAACTTAGACAGAACTGCGGGGACCAAGAACTGAAAGCTTTTAGGAAAGAACTACAGAACAAAGTCATGCTATAATGCGTTTATGGAGACATAGAGGCCAATAGCCGGCCTGGTCCGCTGATAGTCAAAAGCTAGGAAGATCGTCCTTATGGAAGTTTCAAATGATTCTTTGAACACGTTCACAAGTCAGTTTTTGTAGCTTAACAGTATAGGCACCATGAAAACAATGTTCAATGACATTCAAACACCAAGGTTATTAAGCCAAAAAGATCTAGAGCCGAAAAGTAATCCAGCCTCAACTAAAGGTGGAATCAGCAAACTAACATTGCTTAGTTTATGCACAATTTATTATCACTATCTTCCCCATTGCTTTTTCAATTATGAACACTCATATAAATCTTTACTTCTCAACAGTGTTGCTAAAGTTTTACCTCTTCTCTAGCCACCTATTATTTCATAACACATCCCTTTTATTTTACATGACTTTACTAAAGCAAAAAAGGTCAAAACACAAAAAGCCTATAGAGTAAGCAGAGACTTTCCACTTTAATAGTGAATGAAATGTAAAAGGGAAAAGGTGAGAGACTGGGTACAGAAGTACGTGATGAAAAGCAACTGTATTACTACCTTCCAGTTTCGCTATAGCACTTGTCATTGATTTCATCTCACGTACTTGGTAGTTTAACAGACTTGTCAGCTCCTCAAAATACCTTTTCTCTGTGGAGGAACACAAGTTAAATCACCATCATATCATTAATGGTAACAAGTTAAGCACCAGAGACGAAAGAGAATGAAAGAGATCAGTCACCAATGCAGAAATAACTTTTTCAGTTCATTTTATTTCATATCCAGTTCTTAACTTGTTACTATTATGTGATTTCCATTAACCAACCTTCGGATTTTGATGCCAACATCTCCTGGCTTGCTCGGGCTACATCAGCAGCAGCGGCTGCAGCAGCTTTCGCAGCAACAGCAGCTTCTTCTGCTAAACTTGGTTTTCCCTTCACAATATCTTTTTCATCTTCTTCATCCATAACAACCTTGCGTATCCATGACTTCAATCGGGGAATAATAGATTTCTGCAAAAGCATATGTCACTTAACAGTGGGATGATAATTATAATGATTAGGCCATGAGCAAAGTTTCCAATTAGATCGTGATAAGCACCAATAACCTAGTTTAGAGACGAATCCGATAAAATAAGGCATTGGAGGAGTCCGAATAAATCTGAAGAAAATATTCACAACAGGGTTTCTTAAGAATAAGAAAAAAGAAAATGAAAATCAAAACTAGGTTTTACTTCATTCTTTTATTTTGGATAGGTTCTATGAGAAATAACCAATTACCAAGCTACTACCAAGTAAAACTAGCACAAGTGAAAGTTTGAGATGTCTCGCATATGAAAACGAAATCCACACCCAACTAATGGAGAATAGAATTTTGGGTTTAAAACCTAAACCAATGTATGCAATCAAAAAGTAACAAGTGTACCAAGAGAAATATGGGTAAAGGAAACGTACATCAAGAAATAATTAACCACCAGTATCTTGTTCCACTTTGATTAACAAAGAATATGTATGGAAAGTCTCCTTTTCTGGTGGAATTAAAGCACAAGAGGTCAAGCTGTCCGCAAATGTACATTTGAAAGGAAACTCCTTCACAATTTCATTGAGATATTAAGTGATTCGTGGAATAAGCTGTTGGACTTGCAGCGTCGAGAAGCCAACAACACTGTTTTTGAAACAAGAAAAAATTGTGTTTGGTACTAGGTTAATCACAAAGAAATTACAGAAGCTGCATCCTTTTTCAAAGGCAAACACTTGAGTTTGGCATAGAGCATTCTGCATTTGATGAGGATCTTGTACTTTACGTCGAAGGATCTCGGATTCCTTTTCTAAGGCCATTTAGTTAAGTTGGACAGTATGCGATAAAAAGATACTCATCTTCAAATAAAGGTCCTGCCTAGCAATTCTGAAAAAGTTTGAATGTGCATCGCATCAAATTGTAAGATTGAATAGTGAAATAGAGGATTCAGGCTCAATTCTCATTCAGAATATCCACATATATATTAAAATTGATTGAATGACTTTCAAATGTGTGATTCTACTAATAATCCATAAGCAATACTTCTCCAGCTTTTCTCTTATTCTTCTTGTCGTTTACAAAAAGGGGTAAAATGAACTAAATGACAAGTATTTTGCATCATACAGTAGTTAGATACATTAAAAATGGCTGATATAGGATAGGCAGTACAGATGTGGTACCAACTGGCATGGCAAATTGGAGGTTCTTTACTATGCATTACCTTGAAGAGTACGGCTGTTCCAGCTCCTGAAGCAGCAAGTAAACCTACAGCAATAACTGCATGAGCCCAATGGAAATGAGAGAGATACCCCATTTTTGCCATGCTATTGCTCGGTGTAGCTGATGCAGGCTGCATATTTTGTAATGCAGGCTGTGGTGGACTAGTTGATGAAGGCTTCAGCTTCCCATCTGCCATCAAAATATCAGAAGAATAACATGACAAGTATGAAGTATAGGCTCCAAACATTATCAATATCAAAAAATGAATAAAAGGCCAAACACAAATTTCATTTTGAGAACAATATGAATTACCTTCATTTGCAGCAACTGGCTGCGTGCTAGTAACAGTTGGGGTAGGATCCTGTAATTTAGACAAGACCGGCATACATCTTAAGTTTCATGTGGATGTTTCAATTACATTTAAGTCAAAATCAACTGTAAGAGATCTAAAAGTGGCCTACAGGAACTCGACGAAAGGCTTCATCTATTTCCTCCTTCGTGAGACCCTTTCTCTCGAGAAAAGAACGCCTATACATGACTGGAGATCCCCTAACTTTTGGATGTGAAAGAAACTTCATAGCATTTTGGACTTGATCCTCCCGAATTGGTTCGGAGTTTACAAACACAGAAGTCGGAGAGCTCCCATTTGTAGCCTCAGGCTTGGAATCTTGATGATCTTCAGCTGTTGGTTGTGAAGCCGTTGCTTCATGATATTAAAGTTTGGATTAAAATATAGCAGGACTTCTATTTAACTCAAATATTTAGCACATCACTATTAAATTTAAAATTAAGCAATGGGACTTCATAGAGCAAAGCAGAAGAGTGCTGAGTAGATAAGCTTATAAACAATTGGCTGAAGTGCACGACAACTATTAGATCTCAACCATTACAGAAGTTTGCAGTAAGCAGTTCTCAGTACAAGAAATTTAGAGCACATTTGGAGTACCCCATATTCTAATATCTTGTAATTTTTCTTCGAGCATAACATATGTGCACTTTTGTTTTATCAGCAACATATATGCACTTTCAAGATGCATATTGATGACTGCTGTTAAGAAGTCTGTTACTGCATTTAGTGGTTGAAGTAGATATAGCCCATGAAACCCAACATGTTGAAGTAATGAAAAAGAGAACATGACAACAAAATGTTAATATGAAATAGACATGCTCCGCAACTCAGTTTACCTACATGATAGCAGCTCAAGTAGTTAGGTATTTTATGTGTACAGATACCTTCTCTCCAATCAAGAGTCAATTTAGCTTTAAATGCAAGATGGGGTGGAAAAAACAGAAGATCAAAAGGTAACCAATATTTTTGAAGTAACCTCTGAGTTCCACTAGCTCCGTCTGTTTGCACCTTATGTACAGATATTACCTAAAATCTTACTTATGTATATATAATATGCACAATGGAGATGGTTGTTACTTCAGACTGCATAATGTATGCACTGGATAATGATATAATCAGCTACATGTTGCTCAAAATTCCATGGAGTCTTAAGATTAACAAAACCTCGTTTGAAAGTGGTCCTGGAAATTGCATGCTTTCCGTCTATCTCGGAAGTTCATTATTTGACCAAAACAGGACAGTATTCTTGATTTTGATATGAAAAGCAAAACTACTTTGTTTTTTGTGGCAACTCCAACTATCAACCCATGTGTATGCAGATATCTAAATTCAGCTAGTTGTAGTTCACTATTTCCCCAGGTGAGAAGAAAATATCTCAAGCAGCATCTTACAATTTCTATAGGATGGGAAAGCTTTCACTTAACAGAGTGTAGTGTCCTCAGCTCGTATTTTCCTCTCCTAGTAATAAAATGTAATTTAGTACTCCTACTATCGATTCATTCTTGGGCCACAGAATGTTTGCTGGTGCGGTCTAATCAATAACTGTGCGAAGCCTCATATTGAAAAGTAAATTATCTAGTTAATGAACCTAGTACCATCAGAAGACTCATACTGAAAACACAATTATCTAGTTATCGAATATTCACAGTATTATACCCAGCTAATTAATATCAAATCAGTCCATTCATTTGAGAAATTAGGTCAATATATTCTTCCATTAGTTGCTAAAGCATTTTTTCAAGAATACAGAAAAAGACCTCATAATTTCACGGATCAGCCCGAACCCAAAATCTTGCAGCTTCTACAACAACATAAGTTCCCCTTTTTTAGCAAAGGATTCGTCCAATATTCCCAATTAATCAAATGGTTATTAAATGTAACACTATCAAGTTACTATTTCATTGCTTAACAAACTGAATATGACAACCACCCATAAAAGAAAAAGAAGCAAAATTACATGCTCTTATCAAGTTAAAGATGAAAAGGCACAAACACCATAAAGTACAAAAAGATCAATTTTTTTCATGGAACAATCTTTATTCAGATAACCAAATGAAAAAGCAACAAATTCAGTAAAGAATGAAGGACAATTAAAGGGCTACCTGGATTCTGGTTATTCTCGTCTGATTGAGACGCCATGTTAACCAACTACTGTGAACTGAATTTCAAAAGGAGAAAAACATAAGTAGCAAATTTAGAGGAGAAAAAGAGGAAACAGCATTTTTGAGAAGTTGTTAATAGGGCACCGAATTACCTATGATTATTGATGATGATGATAGGATGTCAGAACACACAAGTGGTTTTTGCTCATCTCAAGAAGCAAATATTACTACCTTTTTTCTGTGTGCCTAATTATTGATTCATATATAAACTAAGTAGCAGACAAAATCTTTGCAGATAACATGACTTGAAGGGCCTCTATTTATTTTATTTTATTCTTTGGTTCTTTCTAACTCTTATTATTAAAACAAAAGGACTATATAGTATGTTCATGGTTCGGTTTGGATCGATTTTTTCCTAAAAAAGAAACCAAATCAAGTAAGTCGGTTTTTCAGAATATTAGAATCAAATCAAACCAATTAAGTCAATTTTTTGTTTTTTCGATTTTTCGATTTTTTCGGTTATTTATCGGGTTTTTTCTTAAATATGAGACATACACTATCAAATCAATTGCTCTTTGAGAAATCTCTCATTTGATGATAATTGAATCAAATAGTGATGAATAATTTAAGTACTCAATTAAAAATCGATTATTTTTAACATGAAATAAATTCTTGTACTTAGCAAAAGAAAACTACCAATCAAACTAGAATGTAAAGGCAAAAATTAGATGATTATAATAGCAAAGAACTAGACTAAAAATATAAATAACTAATATGTACCATAAAATTTTAGAAACTTTATATAAAAATATACATACATATATATATATATATATATAGGTGTAATAATAAATTTAATTAGCTACTTTTATAGTCGGTTTGGTTCGATTTTTTTTCGGTTATTTTTTGATTAAAACCAAACCAATTTTGATCGGTTTTTAAATTCAAAACCAAACCTAAAAAGTATCGGTTTTTTTTGGTCGGTTCGGTTCGGTTTTCGATTTAGTTCGATTTTTCGGGTTTTTATGAACACTCTGCTTCTTACCTGCAAAATTATTGGAAGATCTAAAACAATTTCCTAATCATTTTGAAAAAAATATTAAAACTAGAGAGAATTAAGAAAAAACAATTAGTTAGATTATCAGAAGGAATTAATTATATGATAATTTGAATTTGGGATAACAATAACCAGTTACTCATTACATTACAAGTTACAAGGTATACATAGATGCTAGATTCAAATGCAGTAAATTTAGGCTAAAGTATTATAATATATTCTTATTATTTTGTACAAAGGGAAATTATACTTCTCATAAAGTTTTATATATAAATATATCGGAATAATAGTTAATTATATTAAATTATTTTGATTAACTGGAAGAATTGAATACTCCTTATTAATTGCACATATGAATTTGATTTAGTGGTAAAAACATAGTGTGTGATGTATGAATGTTAAACCATGTCATCCGTTCAAATAAAAGTCTAATTATTTAAGTGAAGAAGGATAAACGACAACTCCATTATCTATCAAATATCGTGTCACAATACCTCACAATTTATAGAGGGACAATTCCATTATCTATAACTCGAAGATTTCTCGATTATACATCTAGGTGAGGGGCTTTTACGCATTATACTAGTCTGTGATAATCTTGATTGACGTTACGTATCACCCATTTTTTCTTTTCTTTTTGTCATTAAAAATTTCTCATATCATTAAACGCTTAATAGTCATCGTGAAGCTGGTTTGCTGGGCAATACTTTGTGCCTAGTCATTTGGACAAAAGAAAACTGAGTTCGAGATGCTAATCCACGAAAAAATGATATGAGAAATTTTTACAACTTATATAAGGAAATGGAGCTACGGATGTAATTACATCTCGTGAAAAGGAATAACTTATATTGCAAAACTGCGCAGTCACAAATTCAAGTCATATATCTGTTGGATGATGAACAAAAGATTGGTATTGGTATATGAAGAACAAATACAACCATAGACATTCGTCTCTAAACATCGAATTATACTCATAAAGTTACACCCTTTGGTTATACTCTCACCAGAATCACATTAACAAGCAGTGCAGTTACATGGGTGAAGATTTGGATGGACGCAACCCAAAAGTCCTCGACGAAGAAGCTACATTTTACTTTTGGCTTCACATTATACATGAGTTCATTCGGCTACATTGTCAAAGTGCTGAATCCAGTTCAATTTACTCTATCAAGCAGCCTCTCCACCATGATCTTTTGCTGCACTGGAGTCAAGGACTCAGAGTTCATTATTGCATTTGCAACAAGAATGATTGTGGATTGGTGCTCAGCATTTACCTATAGCACAACAAATATCTAAATTGAAAAAAGGAAGCACTAATTGACAATTTGAAATAGATGAACCTGACCAACCGCAACAAAAAAGAGTGAACTAATTTCATACCCACACACGGCCATTTAAACCAACAGCTATCTCAAAAGCTAGCTTCTTTCCAAGACCCTCAAGAACCGGACATGTTGGTGAACTCAGCAACCTAACAAGAAAATACAAAAAAGATGAACATGTAGCTTAATCCTGATTAACATGCAACAAGACCTTCACCCTTTTGCTTGCTTCTCTTTTCTGATCAGCAAGTTTACGGTATTGCAAGTTAAAGCCAAAACAGAATCTTACATCCGTGATAAACCAGTTGACGATTCAAACATATAGCCATCCTTGATGAGGCCAAACTCGGCAGCTTTTCCAGAAGCTATATTGAATAAGATAATTATTTGAAAATTAGGAATAAAACAAGACAGATTATAATATACAAGAACTCCTGTTGCAAATTAATTAGGAAGGCACCAACCATCCATGCAAGATAACTCAGGGTTCATTCCAGTGTTGGCCTTGACTACACGGGCATAAATTAGAGTACCTGCCTGAAAGAACACGATGACTTATAAGAAAATAGGTCCTGATATCAACATGGATAAAAAATTTTAAAAATTATTAAGATAAATCCTACGGTTTATTCGAATTTAATATGGGGACATGGCATTAATTTGGTGCTCCGGTAGGCAAATAGTCCTTTTCTTTAATTAGTACAATATCAATTTATTGTTGAAAGAAAGCCATTTTATTGCACAATAGCAATAAGCAGCGGCGAAGCCAGAAATTTCCTCAAGGGTGTTCAAACTTGAAATAAGTAAAAAGAATTCCGACAAAGGGTGTTCAATATATGTTATGTACATCTAAAACCTAATATTTTACCTATATACGCAATGTAATTTTCCGATAAAGGGTGGTCAAAGTGTGGCTTCGCCCATGGCAATAAGATGGTGCTGGCATATTTACAAGCAAAAACTCAGCCTGACAATGATACATGAAAAGCTCCATACTGGATAACGTTTTTTTTTTTTGTGGAATAATAGTTAGTTCACCTATCAAGTTGTTTTTATTTACCTTTTCTTATTTTTAGCTCACTGGAGCAATTTCAACCTTTAAGTAGATAAACAAATTGGACCAAATCTAATTCGTGGTTCTGATCAGACAAACTCACATAAAAATTTCATGTCACAAGACTTTCTTTCATGCGATCGAGATTTAATCTAATCATCATTTTTTTGTCCAGGTAATCACAAACTTTACATTGAGGTTAAAAGGTAAATCAAAAATCCAGTGTTATTAAAAGTGATTGCTTCATCGCTTAAAGGGATGCAGCAATGTGAAGAGAAGGGTCCTCGCTTGAATTTGACGTCAAAAGATGGAGAGAGGGAGAGAGAGAGAGGGAGGGAGGGAGGGAGGGAGAGAATAAAGGATAAATAGAATTGAGTATTGGCCTATTGGATTCCTCTCCATATATGCTTGAGCATTCTCTCTATGGCTTTTGTCTTGTTCCTTTTCTCTGGTTTTGCAATGGCTAAGACTCTACTATCTTTGCTTTTCCCTTTTGTTCTTTCTTTATTGTTTTTCTTCTTCAGGATGAGTTTTTGTTCTTTTTCTTCTTTGTGCAAGTCGTCTTCTGCAAATTCTCCTTTGAGCTTCTTTTCTGCTTCTTCATTCATTCTTCTTTTCTCGCTTATTCTCTATTTCATTTCTATTCTCCAATTCTCCGCTAATAATCCCAGGAATCAACTCATTTTTTCCAACTGAAGATTTCTGAAAGGATAGCTATAGAACTGTACATGTTTTATCCAAGCATATTGGACATGAATACCATATAAAGCTATCGATACAAGTGAACAAGTAATGTGAAGGCCAGGTACTGAGAGGCACTCGCATTAATTTATGAGTTACGCAGTCGAGTAATTTGTTTGCCACCATGGAGGAAAGCACTGCTCTCAAAGGCATTTGGCACAATATCTCCTTTTACATTGAGTAGGAATACTAATAATCTTGAGCCATTATGATCGTACAACACTGCTGGCAGCACTATTAGTTTTTTCTGAATCTTATTATACATTTTAAACAATGGGAATGCATAACAATAAATTTAAGAGATAATATCCTCCATTTGAAAATCAAACTCTTCTTGCATGAACTAATTTTAACTCATTTGAATATGGAAATTACGGAAATGCAAAAATCATACGAGGCAAAATTATCTCTTATTTCAATGAAAACACCTATAACGCTACAATATCAGCATGACTGCTACTCACTTAAAGGCGGGGTGAGGGTGTTAAATCAAACTGTTATCAATGAACTAATGTGATCTCTTCTAATTCAAGAGGCCACATCAAGCAATTCTTGAACCAGCAACCAGCAATTATTAAAAATTCAACTTTTTAACTAAAGGAAAGTCAAGCTTGCCCCATTTGGAAGGAGCCTTCCGATTCATCTATCTCAGTTAAACACTAAAGCTGTTATTCAATTTCAAATGATCAAGATTCATAAAGTGAAAAACTGCAATCAGATAAAAGTGCAAGAAGCATCTCCATTTGAATTATTAAATACTTGCACAATTACTTATCATAAAAAAGAAAATCAGAGGAGAAAAGAACAAAGAATATGACCAAATATCATGGAACTTAGGATTGCACCTCAAATTTGGGTATGTTTCTCCTAGTTCCTCCTTCAAATGCTAGCACTGGCAAGAATGCCACCATTGGCCCTTTTATGTCCACAAAAAAGTTCTGCCAGAAAACTCAAAAGTGAATGTACAAAGAAAATTCATATAAGAATCAATAAGCTTTCAGATTTTATGCGTTTTCTGCATGGACCATCCTTATATCTTTGATGAATGTCGATGACTTCATGAAAATGATAGGAAAATAGACAAACGAC